GAAAAAAAAAAAAAAAAAACCTCTAACATTGAAGATAAACTTCTCTCATGCTATTTGTAACTCTAAGAATGAAGATACTTTTTTCTCATGTTATTTGTATGTTAAGTTTTTTTTCTACATTTTTCTATGTCACACCATAGGACACAGTCCAATTTTTATTTGTTGACTACCCATATGCACAGTATATCTCGATTTTGCATGATTTCTGTGAGGGTAGGTTTAGGGGCGGGGTTAGGTGTGGTCATTCATACGAATTCGTATGAATTAGCCACCTATAGCAAATTGCTGTGAGATTGGGTTGGACCCAAGCGGCAGCCTTCCGGTCTCTCTCGTGAAACCAACACGGAAGTGACTAAAACTGCAATTCATCGACTGGCCGCTAGAGGCTGGCTCCAAAAGGGAGTCAGTCCCATAGACTCCCCATGTTAAAATGCCCAAATTTACAGTAGAAAAAAATATGTTTATAGCCTGGTACAAAAAGTGCTTTTGGTCTATATAGCTAATTTTGACCTTCATGACAACTGTGAGGGGGGTGATTTTTTTTTTATAACTCATCCATTTAAATTATATTAAGCCTTAAAGTCCTGCATAATTAAGGGCGTGGCCACATGAGTGACAGGTGGATTGCCCGCTTGTCGCGCTAGGTGGGCGTGGTTTCAGCAACCAGCTCCACCCACGTCCTGCCTCTTTGCCCATTTTCGATTATCAGTGACGCGATGCCAAGATGGCGACGGCCGGCTCCGCTCACTTTAGGCTTCAAAATGCTCTTCAGAAACCTAGGGGTGACGTCACGGACACTACGTCCATATTTTTATACAGTCTATGGTTGGACCATGTAAAAAGTCCACAAATTGCATTTAAATAAACACGCATTTTGATTGGTAATGACAGTCATACGTCATTTCATGACGACAGACACAACACTGTCATTATTTTTACGCCCGCTGGAGAGCACTAAACTTTAAAACGTAAATATAGGTCGTAATAAGGTGCTTGCACAAATGACCTATAGTGTCGTTTTTTTGTTGGAGGACAGTCTGGTCAAGATTACAAAACGATTCGATTTTCTAAAACACAAGCCACAAAGTCACACAGTCTATATGTATGTTTTATATCTTGATTTATACCCCTAAAAGGACGATGTATCCCTTGAGATACAAACATTTAGAGACAGATTACAAAAAAATATAAGCATTTAATTTATACAATTTCAATGTAAACCTAATAAGCTAAAATATGTGAACTAGATCAACTTTTGTCGGAGAGTGAGTAGATTTCCCACTACAGGCCCTTTCAAGATGAAACCAAGAAATGAGACCTATGCTTTCACTGCTTCTCCCCACAGCTTCTCAAATGTTTATATCCCCCAGGATACGTCGCCCCTTTTAGGGTTAAAACTGTTTCCCTCACACTAGTTCTAGCAGAGTATGTATTTATCATTATTATTATTCAAAATACCAACCCGATCTCATAGCAATTTGTGCATATTTTACGATGTGGCTAATTCACGTTGCAAATACATTCTTTGCAGATAGCTTATACATTATACATTATTTGCATTTTTTTTTTTTTATGAAATTTCATTTTCACAGAAGCTCAACAAATGAAGAATCACCCATCAGTGAAAGTTTCATGAAAATCTTAATTTGAACACCAGTGGAGCTCTTCGTCTTTGCACTGGTCAGATTATATTCATAAAGTCTGTAAGAAGTTGATTTATTATTGAATTAAGGCAGATTTGCATTTTTGTTTCGATGCAGATTGAAAAATGTGAAATTATATAGATATGTGTTATAATACTATATAATAATATTATAATAATACTTCTTAAAAGCAGTAGGTAACACTTGCCTTCTTGGCCAGTTTTTCTATGTTTTCTACAGATGCAGAAGATCCCAAATGCAGCTACAATCAACAGAGATCCAACAACAGCAGCAGAAATCAACACTATCAGAGAGACTGGAGGATGAGAAGAAGACTGTGCTGCAACGTCTAAAGAGAGGCAGTAATGCAATTGTAAAAGTGATTGTGTCAATCTGATCTATAAAAAATACAGAGATCAGGTTAGTAAATAATCACATATATCAGTGCTGCTGTACCTGAACATGTGAGACAGAGTTTGCTGATGTCCAGATGTTTAGAGCCACAGGAAAATGACCTCATGCAGGAAGCTGAGAAAACGGTCACAAACGGGCTCAGACAATTGCTTTTTTAATTAATTAATTAATTAATTTTTAAGAAAAAAGAAAAGAGTCAAGGGACACTCTTTCATGGATTAACCAGATCAATGCAATCTGGCGGCGAAACTTCGGTATTTCGAAATGTTTCGAAACCAATTTGATAGGCTACAGTTTGATACGAGTTCCGAACAACTGAATCGAAACGATTCATAAGCTTCATAGTCCAGGTGATATGTGCAAAATTTGAGGTGATATGTTCACTTTTTCATAAAAGCATAAAACTTGGTACAATTGTACAGGTTAGGGCCCTGAACACTTTCAGAAATGGAGCCATCGCAAAAACGCCTTGTGGTTGCCATGGCGACCATTTTACTTTTCTCTTCTAATCTTATCTCACAGGTAGATCTTTCAGGGTTTCCTGGGGAGGAGAGGTATCCAAAGAACATCAACTGGTCACTGGGGTTCCTCAGGGATCAGTTATTGGACCCCTCCTCTTCACCATATACACTACATCACTGGGACCCATTATACAAGCACATGGTTTCTCCTACCATTGCTATGCTGATGACACACA